TGCCCAGTTGGAAATTAATTAAAGGATAACTTCATCACTGTTTATATAATCGAGGTAATAACCTACAAATACAGTGAGGTCCTTGATTACAAAGAAACTCGATCTGGAGCTACGATCCATATTCACCGAATAGAGAACTAACGATGCCTGTAACGAGACTGTCATTGGCTTGCCATGCACCACGTCCATGTGCCTACCGTGTGACCCTAAGCTCTGCGTACACAAACAAAAGATGTCACCCTTTGTCAGTTAAATTTATACTTTCTGAAATTCACTCTGATCAGCTTCCAGAAACGAATGGCTTTGCCAACATCACGGAGTAAGTGATCGGTATGAGCATGCTACCGCAGAGAGACTCTAGTTTTAATACTTTCAAAGGTTCTGTGTTCACTGACTTTATTGAAAACTTTTCTTCCGCTGTATTTCTGTTTGGTGAAAATATATCAGCTGATTTTTAGTGGCGCTGCTGTGCCTTGAACCAAATGCTGTCATCTTCTGCTCGAAGGAATGTTGCTATTTATGAATTAATTTTTGTATGACTGTATTTTATTGGTCCAGTTTTTTCATTATGTCACTCTGATATTCATGCTGATCTGAATGACCGCCGCAGAATGGACCAGTCTCAAATTATCCGCGCTTAGAACTAAGGAAGTGCAGCCTCCACAATCAAATATTTTCCTCGTACTCAACAGCTTAGCTATTCCTTATTTGCATTTAAATCGTTATATTTTGCCGCGCGCCTAAACGACCTGATAAACTCACGATATTTTCTTTTACTACCAAAGAAAATGACACCCTCTTATCTGGTTTATGCATTATTACCCGCAGTTCAGATGGCAGCCGGTATCATGAAAATGCTTCGTCATGCTTTCTTCGAATGGCTAGAAAAGTAGAGCATAATTCTTGCGTTAAGGATTATAATAAAATTGTTCCTCACTTAAACAAAATTGCCTTAATGAGCTCTTTCAATCCTGATTACCATAGACTTGTTTGCCGATCACCGTGAAGTTCATCGTAATCTTTCACAGGTATTATATTTGTTCCGCAGTGTATATTTTACCCTGCGTCGTTTGAACTTTGGATCCCATACTTTGGGTGCTTTTCCTGCCATAAAAAATTCGAAGTTACCTCCCGAAGTGTCCCAAAATCAGAGAGATTATAGATTTTTATATTTTAAAACAGGTACAACGGATATATGCCCGTCTTATTACGGTAAGCAACTGTTAACCTAATAGACGTCATCACTCTTTAGTTTAATCTTTTCAAATAACATAACAATCAGCTGTGCCAACTTCGGATATTCTTTGCTCGATATTTGCCGTTTGGTGGATCATAATAGACTATCATGGATACTTTAGTCGTTCAAAAACGAATTCTTCGTATTTTCTCTTGGGACGAGTTCAATTATTTAATCATCGCTCACACTGCGATACAACGGTTGAGTTGGAACTATATCATGCCACCTTTTCTCCCCACATTGCATGTAACTGAGGTTTTCTATATATATCCAACAGGAAGCAGAGAAATGTTACTGCTTCACGAATAATAAGCGGAAAGCAATTACTATGCGAGTAATTTCCATATTTCCTGCCTCCAAAACGATTGGATTTAATATTCAAGAGGTCGATGGCTGTGTACGTGCTGCTGGTTCCTCCCTTTTCGTCCATCTCATTTGTGTTGAGTGTAAGTCTTTATGCAACAAAAAACATCTTAGTCGCTTTAAAGTTACAGCCATTTAGAAAACTAACGTCATGGCTAACACGATAGCCGATCTATGCGGCTGTTTTAAAAGCCAGAAACATCGTGCATTTACGTTAGATCATTTTTGAACTGGTATTACAAAAAAACTTTTTGCAATTATGAACCATAAATTCTCTGGCAGATTACTCGTAATATGGAAAATTATTGTTTCAATAATTCGGAAAGAATCTTGCTTACTGAAACCTAAATTCAAAAATGACAAATAGCTGGTCAATAAACAAGCACAACCTCAGTTTTCAAGGCAACACTGTAGCGTCAGTAAGAGACATCAAAACTTTGTTTGCAGGAAAGATCTCACTCAGATAGTCATTGTTTTAATTAGTGGAATTACTCTGTTTTGCGAAAATTGATAATACAGTTTGTAAATCAGACCTCAGAGTCAAAGGCTTATATACGGGCGACAAAAAATGGTTGGACTGTCGATTTTTCGTTTAATTGCCAAAATAAATATAGGCATTCACGAAGCAATTAGTCCTTTCAATAGAAAATAACAGTTCATTGAAACAGATCGACTAAATCTGACAGATAATAACAGGAAGTGAATTATCCCATACGCCATCTATGCGTGAAAACTGACATACTCATCAACAGTGTGATCCTGGATTGACGAAAATATTTTGTCTGACTTAGCATGAAATGGATGCTAAAATTCTATCCGAAATAACCAGCGTTTAGCGATCAGTCCAAAATATCTAGAGCGTTCTACGGGCACTGCCTAATTAGGACAGGTTCTGAGAAAGATAATAATGAAATTATTTTATTCCTTTTCGTACTTTTTTGACCATTCCCTGGAGCCTTCCTCACGTCGGTTGAGCAAGCAATAGTTGTTTCGCCTTTTTCTGAAAGCAGTCGTAACAGGGGCCTAAACAATCACAGTTGAGAACTTCACTCCGGAGCAACAGCTGTCATCAAGGCCCTCTCTCTCTCTCTCTCAAATATCTCAACTTCAGATTCCGTTCAGATGCACGAATCCAGCGATTTGTCTGAAATATCCCATTTCTGCAGGCTATACCCGTGAGCGCAGTTTTTTGGTCATGGTGCACGACTCATGCTTACAGGGTATCATGTTGACTAGACTTGAAAACAAACAGATTTATTCTGGAATAAAAATTTTTTATCAAATGCACATTTCATTTTCATGAGGAAGTCCTCATCCTCTCCCCACTTTTAGTGCAGCAATTTCTGTCTGTTGTAACTGTATAATTTCCTACGGCACTTTTGCTAGTCCGTAACTCGGTAATGCGTTTTCTAATTAAGTCGCGATGTGGGTATGATGACCCAATAGCAATGATTAGGCTCCAAAGCGAGGAGATGCATGGTTCGACACTTTTCT